AACACAGGAGCTTTTTCAGCCTAGCTGCTCTTGGCCCCTCCTTGCCCCTTGGGAAGGGTGTGGGTCCACTACATTAATAAAACCAGGTTTGCAGCTAACTTATCAAGTCAACTGCAGCTTCTCCAAAGAAACCATGACCAGAATAGGTACAAGGACAACCATTTGCAAGTGTGACAACAAGCAATGTTCTATATATTCTTGACACTGCCTTCAGCAATACTGTGAATTCATCCTAAAGTTTTTAGCAGTGGACACATGGTTTCTACCACACAGCTGACATTTACAGTAATATCTAATCACTCTGTGAAGGTGGCATCAACATGGAAATAATCTCTGAGAAGACTTTAAAAAAAAAAAAAACAAAGGAAAGGTCAATAAATTTTCAAACTGAGAATAATTGATATATTATGCTAAATATTAATGGTCTTCAAGGTCAATGTTTTCTTTTGCCCTTATGATACTAATATGAGGTATACAAAACTGATGTATGAAATGGGTATAAACCCATAATACATTGAAGCACATCAATTAAAAAAAAAGACACAGTAATTGTTTTAAATGGCTTCTGTTTCTAACATTGCTTATTCACTGCCCTCTGAGTTTCTGTTAAAATCAGGGAGCAGGTCATTCACCAGCAAAAGCAATTATAAAATGCAAATGACTGAGCATTTATTGTCGAGAATGGCTAGATTAAAAAGGTCTGCTTCATAACATGTTTCCAAGAAGATGACATAATTAGATGTTTGTATTATAAACAAAAGGAAAGAATACAAGTCTTCAGCATTTTTTTAGAAAGGTTGTAATTAAAAAATAGGTGAGCATTGTGACATAAATTCTATTAAAAAGTAATAATTAAATTTCCCTCTGAGAGGTGTTGGGAGGGAGGATGGAAGTCTGGCCAGCCTCTGGCCTGCCGTCTCCTCCTATCCCTTCATAATGTGTCAAATGGAATGTCAAAATTCTGACACTCACAAGGACAATGCTTTGTTATTCCCAATACTCCCCCTGAAAAAAATCAGTGAGACTGTGTACTAGGTAGGACTAGAGGAGTTATTTAGCTCAAAATAAATTTGTTTGGTTGTCACATTGCTCAAAGGTGGGTTTGAGGTAGAGAGCAAATTCGGAATTATTGGCAATTGTAGCAAAACCACATTTAATTTCTAGTAAGTTTAAGATCAAATACTAGCATAACTTAAAATCTCTGCAGCTCAGTAAATCTGAACGAATTTTTGAGCCAGCTAAGACCAGAAACTTCTATTCCTGTTATCCTTACATTATCAATGCCAAAACATGGTTTGTGCATTTTGCAGAAGGTGTTTGAAACTTCTGTGAACAACTTATTTTGGGCAAGAGTCAACCAGTTAAGTTTGTGCCATGTTCAAAGACATAGTCTCATACACAGGTCACAGTTCAACATTCAGCATTTCTTGTTCAATAGAATCTGCAGCTGTAAATAAAACACTGTTTTGTATGTAACACACAGATATATTCACAGCTACTGACGTTTACTTTGGGTCCAGTCCTGCTAACTGCTCATTCATTGTACCTTGTGAGATAAACTTTCCAGGTTGATCTTTCTCTATTCAATTGTGTAGCTGAGCAGTGAATTGTTTAGCATGGAAAGTTCATTGTTTTTGTCTTCCTTGGAAAATGCACATAAAATATAAACCAGCATCAATTTAGTCATTGTGCTTACTGCTTTTATAATCAAATATAAATAAATAACCACTTCAGAGATGTTAATTTAACTGATGTTTAGGTTATGATTTGTTCATATAACTCCAGAAATACTCCATTGGTGTTATTACTTCAGCAGGCTTTAAGATTTAATCTAACAATTTGTATTATAGGAAGACCAGATCTCCCCTAGTGAAACAAACAGCTAAGGTATGCTGACATGTGTTTCATTTCACATTTTTTGAAGTACTTACAGTTCAAAATTAACAAAATGTATATCTGCTTTTTTTTCACAAGCAGACGTAGTTCTGACCTGCTAATGAATTATGAATGGCTATAAATGGCAGCAGAATTGAATCCATATATTCTTCTTTTCACATCCATCAGATCTGGATCTTATAGAAAATGATTAGCAAATTAGGACATTCATTTTTCAAACAAATTATCCATAGTAAGTGTTAGTTACTTACCCATAGTAAGTAACTCTGGTAATATCCAGGCTTATCTTTGCTTTTAAAAGTTGTCAATAAAAGAGGAATTTGTATGTGTCTGGGAAGTGTTATGGTGGCATGAATTCATGTGTGGCATTCTGCTTATTGATGTCTGTTTCCCAGAAAGACTAAGCTAGTGTCACATGTTTCCTTTGGACTTTTGAGCACATCAGGAGCGTGGATGCTCTGAACCACTTTGGTTTCAACATGCAACAGTTTTTTAGCAAATAACACAATTTTGTCTGCTGCTTTTCTGAGCTCAATTCCTTTCAAAATTTCACTCCTCCAACTAGGTTCACACCAGCAGATGTCTCTGTTTACGTATGCACACCAGGAGTGGGGTGACATCAAAAATGCTAAAAAAAACATATCTAGATTATACACTTTAAATCTGCATTGCCTCCTCACTAGAAGTGCAACTGTATGTTTTGTATACATTAAAAAGCCAACACATACTAATACGCTCATTTAGAGCCCGGGATAGTCTATACATTCAGTAGCTGAAGTTACCTGATTTCTTTTGATTCCTTGATTGTTAACATGACCTTTGATCTCCTCTGTCTCCATATGCTGACAAGCCTTATACAAATGCCAGAATGATACTCTGATTCTAAAGTGATGAAACTATAAATTTTACCAAAAATAGGTGCCTCCTCTCTTCCTATGCGTTACTTGCATGTTTTACTTTTCCCAGCAGAGGAGATGTAGAGACCAGAGACAATACTGCCTATCTCCCCTTTGGCTGCTGCTACTCCCTCTCCTAGTCCAACGGGATCTGCAACAATTGGAGAGGATTGGAGAAGTTCACTGAAGGTCTGTGGATGCTGGGAGAAGAGTGGGTGAGGGGCTGCTGGCATAGGCCATGTGTAGGGATGCTGGCATAATTTTCCTGTTAATTTCGTTCCATAAGTAAAGTTCTACCGAAATTTTACTGGTCTCCTGACAGCAGGGTATGTGGGTGTAGTGGGGTGGGGAGGGAAGGGAATAGATTAGCGGCAAGGAGGAAAGAGAGGAGAGAGTCCTGACTCTTTCAAATGCGTCAGTTTCACTCCCAGCTTTTAAAGTATCTCAACATTAGATGATATGATGAGGTCTTTCTTGTACAAGTACCTTTAAAAGGTCAGATACCTCCAGTCATCACTATCTCTATCCATCATTAACAAGTAAAACCAAAAAAGAAGCAAATGAAAAATAAACAAACCAAATAAATAAAACCACAAAACCATAGGGTGTAGAGAAACAAGTCATTGATTAAGAAGTTTCTGTTTGCTTCCTCACACAACTTCCAACATGTTGTTATTGTTGTGTAAGATATGCACTCACACTCTGCAAAATACTGAATTCATGTTACAAGATCATTATCAAAACAGTCCTTTTTTTCTAAGTAAGTGTGTGTTAAAAACCCGGAAAAGCTAAATCAAATTATACTGATGTCCGTATTAAATCTATATCCACTTCAGGAGTGGGTAAAAATTATTGCAACTTACATGGGTTACTTAAGTAACTGGTATCTTTTTCCTTACAAATTCATTTCAGAAACATAACATTCCAATAGTATCTTAACAGAAAGGAATTAGCCTGTAGTATCATGAAGAAGAGGATCTAAAATGTCCTTTAACAATGTAATACAATGTACCCATGTTGAAACTGTGTTTAGGGCCTTGTGACCTCACACTGTCTGTGTGTGCATTAGCAGAAAAACTTCTTTAACAATACATTTATAACAGGACACTTGCATACCAAAAGAAGCGAAAGCAAATTGTAAATTTTCTGAGTAATAATTCAAGTTACAAAATTTCACCAGTAGCATCTGGAAAAATACGAACATAAATACAGCTGTTAGATTTACTACTGATTTTATGAAATTAAATTACTAAATAGAAATACAGATATTGCCATAGGTCACAAGCTCCTCAAAAGAAAAATACAAACATAAATATAGCTGTTAGATTTACTACTGATTTTATGAAATTAAATTACTAAATAGAAATACAGATATTGCCATAGGTCACAAGCTCCTCAAAAGAAGAAGAAAAAAAGAAAAAGACCTAGTAAAAACAGTTTCTCTCATTTTTTAAAGTTTAGAATATGTCATAGCAATAAAATATAGTTTGAGTTTAGGTTTAAACATGGGCACATACATAGAGACAGATTTATTTATATGTTATGCAAAAAAATTATAATTCAAACTAAGAATTTCACAAGATACTACTAGAGTTGACACAATTACAGTTTTGTGGGTTTATGAATTCCAAGTACAGAACAAATTAACACTAGAATTTTCAGAACTGAGTCAGTTTAAATTACAGGATACCACATTAGTAGTAAACCTACAAAAAAAAAAAAAAATTGTGCTAATGTAATCTTTTCCAGATGCTACCAGGACAGCTTTGCAAGTATAAACTTCTGTAAAGAACATTTCTGGAGAGCCATTTTTAGATTTTGACTTTGAGCTACAAACAGTTTGTCTTTTGAAAATCAGAATTATCTGTAGAAGATTAATTTGTTTCCCATTACAGTTTCAATATCTTCTTCATCCACAAAATTAACTGCAGTGAACTTCCAGGAGTAAAAAGCTGTCTTTTTTCAGGCTTGAATAAGAGGAGAAATAATCACTTGTCCTGAAATCTGGCTACAATTAAACACATTGAAGACAAATTAAGAGCTGTTAATCTAAAACTTTGGGTACTTTGCTGCGATCCTTTGTTATACAAGTACTGTACTATAAAATAAACAATCAGTATGCATCACCTACATTGCACTACTAAATGCTTGAAGTATTATTTAAATAGACCGTAAATGTAAAATAAAATAGGAAAAGACAGTACTTACCTTTTCCAACTGGGCATTTTTTTTTGATTTGTACAAAAACTCCCCCACTGCCACAAAGACAGAAAGCACCAATCCTGCTGCCAGAACAATGAAGATTCCTCCAATATTTTGAACTCCTAAAGCACTGGCCTCTTTACTTTCCTCCTCTGGGCAGCCATTGCCTCTCCACCATTTTTCTTTCATCATGTGGAGCTTGCCCTCCTCTTGCAGCTGAAGAATTGCTATAGTGATCTTGTCTCTATATGGAGAACCTAAAGACCATAGGGAACATATATTTCAGGAGGTATATTTTATGTAAAGTTACTTGTTCCTGAGAAGAATAAAATGTAATATAATGTCACAGGAAAAGCTGTATCCTCTACAATCATAACATTTATTGAAAAGCGATTTGCATCTCACCGCAGTCACACTGGTCACGTAAATACAAACATGCATGTGCACACACATATATATTTATATGCACAAAACTTGTTCCAGCTGGTGTTGCCTGTAAGCCAGGCAACTTGGTGCAACTAGTCCTATCACATAGAGTCCCGTGGTCTCAAACTTATTCATGTCCAACTATTATATCCAGAGAAATAGTATTCATCTTTCAGTTTCCATCAGACTTTGAATTATACTGCAGTAGATTTTATCTAATATACATAAACCAACAGGCTGTTGCTTCATAGGTTGTTACCCTAGAGCTAATCCAAGTTCTAAAATGTAACAAACACTTTGTATTATTACTTTATTAAAAGAAGAAATAACAATCAATGCTTCAGGACCAAGCCACAAGAGTCTCTATTTGATAGATCGTCAGGCACTTCAGATACCTTCCAAGCAAGCAGTTACTTATTAACAGTACCAAGTAGCAAAGCAGTCAGAAAGATAAGGTTAAGTATGTTTGGATAACAGGGATGTAAATTTTCATATTTTAATGTATTTCTTTCTCATAATTCCATATTTCAAAATGACATGATAATTTTGCAGCTTTTGAACATTTTGCTATTTCAAGTGGTAGTTCAAAGGGTAGTGTCATATCTTTATCTGTCATCTGCTCTCTCTTCCTCTATGCAGTGCACAAGGACTTTTCAATGAATATTTTTAAATCTACATTAATTAACGAATAATGCCAATGCAGAAAGCTTTTCTTTTCTGAATGTTACAGAGTAAATCACATCAGTTAGAAGTGCTTTCTATGTTAAGATGTGTGTAATGTTTAACGAGACAACAAACCCATGATTTCTCTTCTCCTCCTTCAAAAACAGGAACAAAAGACTCCTCATTGAAGTGGTTAAGAAATTCCAGGAAAAAAAAAGAGTAGATGAAAAGGCATGGCATCCTCTCTTTCATGTGATATGAAAGGAACTCTACTAAAAATCCCTCCTCTTTTGCTTTCTGCCATAATAATGCTACTTACTAGCTATAATTTTTACAGTGTCTCCTTTGGCTGAATAATCAAATGCATTTTCATTAACTACATACCTTTTAAAAAAAATCCTCAGCATCCTTTGGAGAGATGCTGCCCATTTGACTGTTTCAGGTACCGTGATCAGCTGTGAAGGAGCTGAAGGAATGCATGGATAGGCTGTTTTATGCTCTTTATACTCTTGGAAAACAGATTTTCTTTTGGAAATTCTTTCAATTTATTCTTTAATTCTTCAATTTCTTCTTACATATCAAGAGCTCGTCATAAGAATAAAGCTAATAGCAAAGGGTTCCTGTGCCAGCAGAGAAGTAAAACATAGGAAGGACTGCTGATTACAAAACCTGGACTTTTCCTTTACTCCAGAATGAAAGGTAGGAAAAGCTGGCCTGAAAGTATTTAAGTTGCAAGAACTTGTGTTTTTATGATCTATGCTTAGAAAAGAATGATATTCTGTATTAGAAGCTAAACTGTGTTTACACAGGACTGTAAGAGAAGCAGAAAGAAAGGAAAACAAACTCTTTTCTACTCACTAGTGCATGCAGGGGCCTAAGTCACACCTTTTCAGACCATCCTGATTATGCTGAAACTCTGCAAAACCCTGTACTTGACACATTTCTTCAGTCAGATGGAAGCAGGGAAGTAATTAGTCCACCAGAGCCTGGGGAAGTGTAAGTGCATACTATAATCTTTTGGGGATATTTTCAATGTTACGCTGCCTATAAATATTTAATAACAACAACTTAAATATCGTGAGATTCTGAGAAAAAATTTTGGACCCAGTTTAAGCCATCTTCTGATCTGACAGGCTGCTTTCTAATTAAACTGATTTGCACTTCATTTCCATACTTTCTGTTGGTCTAAATATAGGCAGTACCAACTATTCTTCATGTATTATTTATATATTCTAGGGACCAGATTTGTACACATACAGTTCTAGTCTATTTGAAGTGCTTAAAAAATGAATTAACTGAGGAATTTCTAGAAGGAAGCTATAAAGCACAGGCTAATCCTATCTGCAATTAGACAGGTTTATGAGCATTGCAATAGAAACATTCAGTTAATAGTTATTCATTTCAATAGTATCACTCACAGTTGGTGATTTGCCAAATTTTGCACAAATAGTTGTTGAGTGGACAGATTATAGGACCTTTGGTGTTTCTACTTCAATATTTGTATTTGTTATACCTTATTATCATGTCTTAAAAATTGTAGTCTTACAAGTAAGAATCAATGTGGTCCTATTGCAATATCAGTATTTTCCAATATTATTATCTTGTCTCAAAAATTGTAATCTCAAAATTAAGGACTGATGTGGGATGACCAACATTGCATACTGCTACTGTTAAATTAAACATTTAAAATTTTATACCTATGAAAAAGCTGGTATTCACTACTGTAGTTCTATTCTATTTTTGAATTACTTACAATGATCTAAATTCATTGATTCACATTTTGCAACAAACAATGAGTACACCTAAACTCTGATATTTGAAAAAAAAGTATGTTTTAATGCTGGTTATACTGATTCAAGTAGTTATTAAGAGAACAAAAGAAACATAGCAACGATATTACTTCCTAAGGTTTTACTTAGCCCTAGATTTTTTTCTGATACAAGCTTGATAGCAAGCAGAAACAACTGAAGTGGTAAAATGTATCTTGGTCTGAACTGTGGTGATAAAGTTAGCATATTAAAGGAAGAGAAAATAAGTAGAGAACGTGGACAAAGCATCCAGATTAGATTCTGGAAGTTAAAACTGTTTTCCTTGTAGCAGTGAAAAATTTCAGCAAGTAAATGTAAAAGATTTTTGACCTTTATTGGTAATTTTCACTGCCACTCCTATGACACAACAGAAAAATTAATCAAGCCCTTCCATGAGGTGTTGCAAGAAGGCATGTCCTGTTTTCTTTATATTTTTAAAAATCAGAAGTATTTCCTTTAAGAGAATTTACCATTCCAGAGAAAAAATAAAATTAAAACAGAAACTTTAAGACTCCTAGAAAATGTATATGAATGCATTTGCAAAATAAATACAATATGAATAAAAGAAATGTAATAAAGCAGAGAAAAAAATAAACAACAGAGAGAACGAAATTCTGCCATGTGAAGAAATGTTAACTGCACATCTCAACCTTCAATAAAAAGGCAAACGGTTGAAAAAAATCTTACCAGTCTGTGAATGGGGGGAAGACTAGGAGGGGAGAGATGTAGTAATGTTTAAAACTCCATCCCAAAATTAGGGAAAAAGATGTGTATATCATCTTCCACTGAGTGCAGAGGAAGCGAGAAGTCCAGTGCAGAAATATCTGACTTTCTCTTCCCTCTCTTTTCCTTCTTCCTATATTCCTACTGCTTTCATTACTCTATCAACTGATGAGCTATTGCCATGACAGACTGGGACTGGAGGGCCTACAGAACATAATCTATAGATGCTAATCCTACTCTAGCTGCTGTTTGCAGGAATGAGAATTTCTGCCAGAAGAAGAATTTTAAGACCTTCTGTTACAGATTATAGAGACCTTAGTGCCTTCCTATAATCAAAAAACTCAATAAGGGATGTGATAATTTCTATTTGCAGTTATCTGCTTATGAAAACTTAAAATTAAAAATAAAATTTCCTTAAAAAACTGTTGTCTGAAGCATTTGTACAAAACTAAGATAACAGTCTCAGAAATACTGCAGAAGTTATACATGGAGGTTTTCTGCCCTGATGTCTCAGAGATGTAAAGCAATAGAAATCATGTAGCTGAGATTTATTTCATATTATATTTCTTATATTTTTTCAGCTGTAAATACACAACATAATTGATATCAAATTTAGATGAATACATGGGAGTAGTAGGACTACAGTAGCCATTCATGAATTCTTGTATTCATAAGTATTTACGGTTTTAGCACCACGAAGGGGACACTCTTGAATATATTAATTTACAACTAGCTTAAAACATTTCCTCCATGGTGAGTAAATTACAAAAAAAGCATGTATAATGGTTGCCTATAATTAATAATTAATAATTAAATAGGATATGATGATAACAGTTTCAATTGTGAATATACTCCATTTTTCTCAGTTTCTTTTCATAGTACCAAGATAACCTGAACAGCATAAAGACCTTTTTTGTTTTGATTATTTTAAAAACTCAGATCATTACTACATTAGTCTATAAAAATGCATGTTCTAGTCTATTTTTTTATTTTGTTTTCTTTTTTCTTTTTTTAACACAGTTTTGTTCGCTCAAGCCCTCCTCAAATTAATGTTGTAAACAGCTCTAAAGCATGGCTCTTCTATAGATTAAATACTGAATTCAAACAAATGAAAGGTAGCAACTTTATTCATAGATTTTCCACACATTGTAATATCACAGGCAGTTTGAAAAGATCATAATCATAATACACTATTATCTCTTTATCCTTGTTGAACTGTGCAGCTGCAGAACAGGAAGATATCTTTGTTGAAACCTGTACTGAGAAAATTAGTGATATTATGTTTACCATAGCTAAAAGTATTTCGTATTTACACAGTGCTTTTTTTTCAATTCTCCTTGCAAACCCGTATCACACACATATGAATGGTTTGCAAATATAGACTTCTTTGTAAGAAATATTTCTCTAACGCTACCCAGCAATAAATAGCTGAATTGAGGAAGTCTAATGAAACGCTACATGCAGTTCTAGAAACTTGAAGATTTCAGACAGGCAGACAAGAGTATGTTAAAAGACAAGAAATGTGTAAGGTCATAACAAAAGTGTCCAGACCTGAAAACTCAGTTCATGCCTTTGCAGAACACCCCAACCCCCTGCCAAGCTATAAGGGAAATTGTGAAAAGAATGAATGTCAGTGT